AGAGGAAACTTCTGCGGAGCCTATGAAAGTTGATCTCTCATGTGAAGCAGCAGACATTTCAAATAAGGATGGTATGTTGTTCTAATATTTTAGTTGTCCTGAAGTGGATATGTAGCATGCCTTTCTGGGGTTTTTTGTACACTTCCCCCCAAAATAGGAGTTAGATTTATAATCTCTTCAACTGAGTCTTCCTGAGAGTCTTGGAAGTCTGGTGGAGGTACTTTTCAGTGCCCTACCCCTGCTCTTCTAGTTGACTGGGTTTGTTCAGTTGGTTTGTTCAATCTGCTTGCCTTTTAACTAAACAATATTTTAAACCCACTGTAATTTTGGTTTGGATACTGAATTGGCCAAGATGTGTGTGATCTCGCACAGGAGTCAGAAGATATTTCTGAAAATGTCTGTGCTGGTGCCCAGCTCCATTGTGGGGCAAGCGTTGGCTGTATAACCACTCTGAACTCGTATGTTGGCCTCCTCCTAGCTCAGAGCTGATTTTCCTTCCTCCTCCTCCTTCAGAGTCCATGCATAGCTCAGTCTGGTAGCAGATGGAAGTTCCCTAGGACATTTACGATTGATAAAATTGTCACAATTTGGTGGCCCAACAGCAGTTCCAGTCAGGTTTGTGGACGTTATCAACCCGAATCTCTTGACTTGGAAATGAGGGGGTTTTTGTCACTGAGGAGTGAACGGACGATCCAGCTGTCTGACAAAGTCCCGGCAAGGGCTGAGTACCAGGACACTGCTCGAGCTCTGCAGTGCGTAACATATTCATAAACAAAAAAAAAATTGTTCTTCTAGGTTCTTTCTGTGTGTAAAGAAATAACAGATGGGATCAGCATCCTGGCGCTTAGGTTTTGGTGAGGCAGACCCTTTATCACTCCTCTAGATCAGCTCTTGCAGCTTAACGGAGCTATGTAAGGGGTTTTCTTGGTTTTTCCTCAAAGGGTCCTCTTTACTGCTCCAAACGGCAGTGGGTTTGGAATTGGCGTTACAGTCCTCGTTTTATTATTGTGGACTCCTCCTGTAGCAAAGGCTGATTTTTAACTCCTTTAACCTCTTCATCATTGGCATGGCATACTTTTTTACATCTCAAAGACAAAACAATTAATTCTTTTTGATATTAGTTATGCAAGAATCTAATGATGATTTCCTTTCTGTGATGTCAGATCATGCTGCAGTATTTGAATCGGTGGCTGATTTAGATACTGGCCTGTAGGGAAGTTTTTGCAAGCACAGGAAAAGAAAACGTGCATAATGGATTTTCTTTTTTTAAAAATACTAGGGATTATGCTATTACTAGTAAGCATGCTGAATAAAGCGAAACCAGCCTTCTCTCCTCATCCTCTGAACAAACAAACCAAAAAGTCATAGTCACATTAAAATATTTGAATTTCAAATCCCTGGAATGGTCTGGGCTACTTAGTGAAAGCAAATCCAAATTTACTAAAAGAATATCTTAACGGATTTCCTGCTGTAAAGAAAAGCAATTGTTTAGCTCTTGTAACGTGTGCTGTAGCGCAGCACAGCTGGATCAGCTGACAGCTTCTGAAATGACAATCATGATGGGTTTCTTTGTTTCAGATCTTGCTTATCTTCTAAGGTCTTCTACATATAACTCATCTTGTAACTTCCTTTTCTGTGAACTTTCTAAGTTATATGAAGGACAGGAAAAGGGTGTTTGCTAAGGCTGCAGAAAAATGCTCTGCTGTTCAGGGAAGTCTTCATTTCTCTACAGCTTCAGTTGCTATTGGGATCGTGTTACAGGGTGTTTTTTCTTGTGGACATATATTATTACATGGTTAAAAAAATTAGAACAGAGGAAGGATCAAAATCCCCATGCTCTGTTTTATCTGAAGGGTTAAGTTTCACTGAAAAAAAGCCCTAAAATTTTCAAATGTACCAGGTACTAGTTGAGATTAAAAAAAAAAAAAAGAAAAAGGTTCCCTTTGACAGTAATTTTTATGTAAATTGCCTATTTTTTCTCTGGTCCCTTTCCTTCCGCCCCAGGAGAGCTCATCGCTTCACAGCTGAAAGCACAAGCATATATTACCAGGTACCCCTTGGCAGCCTGGCTCTTGTGTTTTAATTTCATGTACCCTGTCACAGTGAAAAGTGCTTTAGAAATGCAGAGAGTTTAGACAGCTTAGGTGGATCTCAATATTGGTTCATCTAGTGGGCAGGACCATAATAGTGATATGTTTCAGAGATGACTATTATTTGAAAGCTGGGCGTGATTCTCCATCAGGAAAGCTGTCAGAGAGTGCACGTGTAAGTCTGAATAGGGGCGTGTATGCAGAGATACAGGTTGCTGCTGGCAATCTCTGTCAGCCACTAGAGCGAAGACCCCTGGATATTATATTTTTCATACCCAGGACAGATTTGCTGATTAGTATTTTTTAATGATGACAAAACCCACCTTTGGCAATTGGTTTTCTAGACAGTGTTTCCCTGCAGGCAGTGTTTCCCTGCCAGCAGCCTTTTTTTTTTTTTTTTTTCTTTTTTCTTAATGCCACCAAAGCTTTAAATATTACTAAGGTAGATGTTAGTTTCCAGGTGGTATTAGGTGGATCAAACCCTTCACTCCTTTCATAATGGGGTTACTCATTGACGTTTTTTATTTCAAGCCTGTGGAAAGCTGCATCCTCACTTGCTAACACAATAGGAGAAAAGAAAAAGATGAAGGCGGTGTCAAACCTGAAATTTCCCATTTTTTTATAAGCTTGTGCAGGCTGATGAATGCGCCATTAGCAACCTGACCTTCACGTGATTCACCAGAGCAACATAAAAGGAAGATCTCAACAGCTAACACCCTCATGCTTTATATGGTGTTGATGTAATATTCAAGAAACAAGTAACTACCAAGTAAACAAGTGCATGTGTTTTATCACCGCACAGCGGGTTGAATTCAAAATAGATGGTTTTCTTTCTAGGCAGTCTGGAGTTATAGCTGAATGTGCTATAGCCAAGTTATGTAGATGCAAGGGGGAAACATTGTTTAGGAAGTGGCTGCAGAAATGGGTTATGTTTGCAAGTAAGAGTCTGACCAAGCTCCTGTTTAAATCAAGACGGTAATACTTCGATGTCATCTGCAGTCCAGGTCTGCAGCATAATATCCTGGGGTGGGGAAATGCGCTTTCTCTTGCAGATGACTCTAAAACTGGTTTTCCAGTCCCCCGTTTGCCTGTCTTCTCTACTTAGATGCTACGCTGTGACTCTTGGCTACCTGACCTTTAAGCACATAGCTTTCGTGCAGGGGAGAGGCGGGATGCCTTGCTGCCAACGCACATCCACTGGGTCAGCCGCAACTGCAGTGCTTTGACAGATGTGAACTACGTGCTGGGTTATTTCTTCTCCTCTTGTGGGGAACTTGCTTGCTTTTGGGGGAAAATCCTTCCCTGGTCATAATTTGAGAGCTGCTAAGCAACTCACAGATTGAGAGGAGGTGCAGACAGGTCCTGCCCAACGGACCAAAATTTAAGGGAAAACACACAGGGAGAGTGCAGAGGATGTCCATTTCCACTGCACAGAAATGTCCATTTCTGGCATAAAAAGCCCCGTGGGAAGCTGCAGAAGAGGGAGCAGGTAAAACTGAATTTAGGAGATGTGCAGCCTCCTTGAACTTCAGGTGCTTTGCTGAGCTGCTGGCTGTTGTAGCATATTACGGGTAGGTGCAAAACTGCCGCTGACATAAGGAAGCAGTTTAACACCTCTGAAAATCATTGTTTAGTGGGGAGAAGGCCAGTTTTGGCTTGCGATGCGATCGAATGTAGCGTGCCCAGGGCTAACGGCGTCGTTCCGACACTGACTCGTGCTTTCTGGGATTCACACCCCTGCCGTACCCAGTGGCAGCTCTTCCATCTGCTCCTGCAGTAGGTGCTTCGCTGCCGTGTCATTTTCCGGCTAAATATAGAGGATTGTGTAGGTGGCCTCACAGTGACATCTGTTGTTGGGGTTCACCCAGTGGTCTGCAGAAGCTTATCCTTTAGTTAGATCTTCCTGTCCCTACCAGCGTTAATGCGAAGAGCCGAGCTTAGTCACAAACACATCAGAGGAAGCTAACAGCGAAACCTGCCAGTGCCTTGGCGCTTGCGAGCCACCGCCCCGCTGCGGCGTGCACGGCGGATGCTTTTAGCGCCCGTGATGCAGGGTGCCTGGCTGCCATTTCCACCGCAAAACAGTGGGACTTGGTGATTCCTTTTGCTTCCTCGCTGCCAGAGGCTCCAGGTCCCAGGCCTCCGCCGGGGCTCCCCCATGCTTTTGCATTGCCTGTAAAGCATTCCCAGGTGGTTTGCAATTTTCCCCTCCTCTATGTGACATGCTATCAGCGTGACAGGGATCAACTCCTCATAGCCATAAAAAAAGGGAGGAGAAGGAGGCCTTCTCATCTGGGATGCTGACAGAGCCTAACCACAGGTTTCAAATCAAGCTTTATTTTGCAGGAGATCTCTGTAAAACGTGAGTGAAGCCTTACGGTATTTTCAGAAAACCCAGCCAGTGAAACTGGCCAGCATAATGAGGCTGAGAAAGGCTGCTGTCGTCAGTGTGCAGCAGCCTTCCCTTAATGATTTTTTATTAAGCATCCTGTCTTTGCTATGCAAATGTGGGTAAAGAACACAACATTGCTAAATGCGATGTGCATCAGAGCTCCGTAATGAGGAGCGGATACTTTTCTTATTATTCATTGCATACATCCAGGAAGCCATTACAGTATCTGTTCTGCATATGGATGATGAATAATTTACAAATAATTTATCAAAACCCTAACAGGTGTATTGACATGATATTAACTCAGAAAGAGATCATACTGCCTGGCTGGAAGTAGCGTTGTTATTGATTTCTGGCTTTTTTTCCCCCTCCCATCTTCTCTTAGTTTCCAAATTTCCCATTCAGGTCTGAGGTTTTTCCCCATCACCCAAGTCAAATGACTCGTAATCTGCAGTTGATACCACGACATAAAGCATGGTTAAAGAAAGAAAAAAAGTCTTAATATAAATGGCTTAATTCAAATTCATTGCAGAATAAATACTAATCTTAAAAATTCACGTGCTGACATAACCCTTTGATACTTAGCCTAGATAGGACCAATCACACCTGCCATAGTTTAGATGGTACTTTTGACAAAGGTCATGCTGAAATGAGTTTCAGCCTTCTATTTAAATTATTTCTTATTTTTTAGTAATTTTAAATGAAAAAAAAAAAAAAGATTGTTTTTGTAAATGGATAGTACACGAGCAAACTAGTATGGGTAGGAGTACAGTGATGTTGCCCTCTCCAGGCTCCAGCAATTTCCAGGTTAAGGACACCCAGAGGCAGTGGCAGCACCTCTGTAACTGGAGATGGATCCGCGTTCAGCCCACAGCCCAGCCCTGGGTCCTGCCAGGGACTTTGTCAGAAGCCTGCGGATGTTCGAATCACAGGGTCAGGACCGCTTAGCCCAGCGAAACTCTAAATCAGCCTTTGGAGGTACCTGTATCTCTGCCTGTGGCCTGCAGAGACAGAGGAGGGTCATTGAGCTCTTGAGCTGGGCACCTGGGTTGGGCACCAAAGTCAAACTGGATGGATGCGGACCAAAGGAAAAATCTAGATCTGGAGGCTTGCATTTCTAGCGATGCCAAAGCCTACACCCTGTCAGGACTGCTCGTCGGGGTTTCTGTGTTAGGATGTTTATTGCCCTTGGCTCTCCGATGCAGGTTAGGATGGCTGGCCTAAGAGACCTTTTTTGCATAGATTTTTCAACTCAATAAATGTCCCCTTTGGGTTACAAGTGGTTATTACTCAACGCGATAAACTTAACAAGTATCATGAATAGAATTTGATGACTGTCTCGGTTTGTTTTCAGCTGAAATGAATAGTCAAGTTGAAAGTATAAATGAGCCTACAGAAACAGAGCGGAAAGCTTAAGTAACAGGTGAGACCTTTATGGCTATTTTTTCCCCACATTTTCCAGTCAGTTTCTATTTGTAAACTTGCTTTTAAAATGACCTTAATTAAACTTAGAACTTACAAAAAAAAAAAAAAAAAGGAAGACAGAATACAAAGGAAAAAAATTGTCTAATATGGCCCATATTACACCAAAAAATGAAAATATCCAGTAGACTTGATTTGTCAAGTAAATATTATAGTAGCAGTCTGCAACTGTAATGGATTTAGACAGTGCACGGTCTTAGATCATCAGAAGGCAAGACAGCACCGAGATAAGGAACGGAAGAGTAACCGAGTGAACAATTTTTGGCATTGCTTAGGAAAATGACAGGCAATTTATACCAGTTGGAACCGAGCTCAGTTCTGTATGATCTGTATTCTGGGAACAACAGGTTCACGTCACGAGGGGTTTATTGCCCTTGGCTCTCCGATGCCTAACGTCACTTGTAGCGATACTGCTGAAAAACAAGGCAAAGTCAGCGAGCTGCCTTCTGGAGCTCTGCTGCCTTTTGGAGCTTGTTAGGGCTTTATATGCTAAATGATAGTGCTGTGGCAGGAGCGTGCAATGGTGGTTGTTGCCACAGAGTTTGTCATAAGCATAAACATCCTCGTCCCTAAATAAAAATGAGTAATTTGGTAGGAAGACAGAAGTCTGAGGCTCATCCCCAATTACAAGAAGCAGTTGCCATTTCTCCCTCAAAAGTAGTTTTTAAGCGTTAATGCGCACCGCTTCCTTTGGCGTAGGGTTATCGTGAGATGCCAATATCATATAGAGCAAGATACGTTATTTATGCTTGTCATGGGATTTCATGTAGCTCAAGATCGAATATAGCAGCTTTACAATGGCAGCAGCTGTATCACAGAGATTTAAAATACAAGGTCTTACTACTGAGCGTAGCCCTTTGTCCTTGTCAGCATATAGACGGTGTGCTGCCATACTGCTGGAGTGAGAAATAAGCCTGATGGGGTCCCTGGTAAAACGTACTGAAGCAAAACTAAAGACTTCCACAACTCTTTCTCCCCCTCCCCTAGCTTCTCTTCGTATATTCTGTTCAATAAAAAAAGGAAGAGGAACTAATGAAATCCTCACTGTTAGAAATACATGGAAAGGTTAATACCCTTCCTCAGTTTAAAAAAAAAAATATATCTGACGGTTATTACTGCTTTCATGTGGCCTGTAGGAAGTCTGTGTTTCATGCTGCATTTTCCCATGGAAATGAATATCTGTGAATGTTTTGGGCTGGAGTTGTTTTTGTTTTACAAAAGCAGAGTTCACAGGAATAATACCACAATTAGAAATCAATTAATAAATGTCTTCAATTCCACTGCAAGACCTGGCTCTGCCAGCACCTTTCTGAAGCAAAGGGGCCCGAGCTGGGGCACGCCACGTCTTGCCCAGCACTTTACTGGCATGCGCAGTATTAGAAGCAGGCATCGAATCCTTCACCGCTCTCTATCAGAGTCCTCCCAACCCTGTTGCTGCTTTCTTAATTGCAAGGAGCAGGTCCCTGGGGAGGACTGAACAGCCTGTTAAAGTTTAAAGAGTCTTGCCGAGGAGATCCCTGTGCTTACTAAATTTACTATTTTAACTTGTTTTTAACATGTGTTCTGTGGTCTAGCACCGAAGCACCCACCAGAGCTGGGGGTCTCTGATATCAAGCTAGGTAGTATGGTGCTATGGAAAACCAAGAAGCCCTAATGAGCACAGTCAATTTGCTATAGAGATTACAGTGGCTGTTACATAAACTGTGTGACACATAGACGTGCTGCACATGATGGAAAGAGAAAACTGTAGGCATCTGTGCTAGAAGGATGAGATCTGGGTTCTGTGCAGACATTTGAAATTTTGCCTTTTTTTTTTGTCTCCCCTGCTGCGGCGAAGGAAGGATGCAGGAGAGCAGAGACCCGAGGAAACCTGACGGGCAGGCGCTGACATCCTACGGCATCATTCTTGGCAGAAAAGAGCACGCAGAGATGCTCTGCGGGTTGGGAGGGAGGGAGCTTTGGGGAAATGACTCTTTGCTTTAATTTCTCTTTGTTCTTCATCGCATTTTGTTCTGTAAGCCTGTTGGAAAGAAACATAACTTCCCAGTTCTAACAATGTTTTGCAATTATCCCTGCAATTACAAGAGTTTCTTCTGAACCGTGACTCCCTGTCTTACATTGGGTCTCTTTTGCCCCTGCATCATATAATCAGTAGCCTGTTTCCAGGCCCACCGCTTTTCTAGCATCTTTGTCTTCTTTCCCAGTTATGGTACTGTCTGCAGGCAACCTGTGGCAGCCAGCTTATTCTCTTCTTCCCTGCCCCCCCCATTTTTTTTTAAAACTGGTCCCTAGGATATAAATGGAGATTTGTTTCGAGAACACGAACTGCCACAAAGGATTATAATCTGCACACACTGATAAACAGCCACCCTCCTTGTGCTAGGGATTTGAAAGACTAGATGCTCCAAAATCTCAGAAATATTGATAGAGACAGCCCTGCATGTTGCCCGCCTCCCGGCTCCTGCCGGCACCTGCCAGCAGGTTGCCATGTCCAAACCCTCGTTGCTAGAAGAGGTGCTGGCTGGATTCCCTTGAGTGCGTGCTGGAAGCAGAGTTTGCGCATTAGCTCTATCATCCCAATGCCCCATCGCCTGTGGCTCTGCCCTTTGCCTTTCTCTCTGGCACGGGAAAGCTAAACCGTATCCTGCCTACGCTGTCACGCCCCTCTGTGGGTCCTACATGTGAATAACGCGTGTGGCCTCAAATAGCCAGTGCCCCCCAAATCAGTCCTGCTTTTTTCTGGTTAGCTCCACACGCCGCAAAATCAGTGCCGTAAGTGTGACCTTTGGGTGCAGGTAGGCAACAGATACTTCCTCGAGCCTGCAAGTGACGGAGGATAACAGGCACTCTGCATTCAAGGCATCTTTAAATATGGTTCCCAGCTTTAACTGCTTCACACTGTATCTTGTGTGAGCCCTCATTATATTTTCTACTGCATATGCATGATTTCTTTTTTTTAATTTTTAAAAAAAAAGCAATTAACAGTTATTTGGATAAGAATGTCTCACCATATGTCAATTGTTCTGCCAGCAAATGCTGCGCTGAAATTTTTAGAAAAGGAACAAAAGGGTTTCACGTACATTTCCCAACCGTGCTGTAACCAAAACTGATAGACAATACACACGATGGAAGGGCACGCAACCTGTGTCCAGGGTGTGATGTGCTACAAACCGTATTTTAAAATGCTGCTGATAATAATTTGATCATTTTAAGCAAAATAATTGATTCTGTTCTTCCACACCCCCCCCAAATATGCACAAATCCCAAAATAGTTATTTACTAGCCGGCCAGAAAAAAAAAAAGGGAAAAAAAAGTAAAAACCAAGGTAAGATATATCTCTCTCTTCCTGGGTTTATCCCAGCTAAAGTAATTTGGTGATAAATCGCCTGCTGGTGTAACAGTGAGTCAAATGTGGCCCTAACGCACCTAGCGCTGGCCATGGCAGTTGATGGCTGCCGTCAGCTGCAGGTTAATTCGAAAGGGTGTCAGGACAAACAAGGATTAGAAAGGAAAACAAGAAAAGCCCCAGATTTCACCTGTCTCCATATGTGTGGCTCCAGCATGTTTGCCTGTGGTGGGATCAGAAGAGTATTTCCGTGTGCCGACTCCTGTGGTGTTTTAACCCAGGTGACACTAGTGCCAGAGAAGATCTTGAGGAGCTTCTTTGTCACCCGTTGCTCCCGGAGGTCAGTGGATGCATAACTCTGAACTGGATCAACTGTGGAGGGAGTAAATGAGCTGACATAGCCTATGAACTGGGTTTATAATATTGCTAAGTTTACCTAAATTTGCTAGATACCATTCCTCTGGCCCTTGCTCTCCTTGGAGCACCCTTGAAGGGACTCCTTGTTCCCTTTGAGGTATCTGCTGCCTTTCTTTCCCATCCCTCAGGTCATGCTTGACAGAACGTGTCCTTTGGGACACAGATTATTTTTTTTTCCCCTCCCTGCTATTCCTTTACCTTGTTTCTAGCCGATTGCAGTTTTGCAGTGGGAGGCCTTGCGGGTAGTACCTCTGCATGGTGCACATCCCGTAACCTTCTGTATGGTTTCCATACCAGGTGATTTTGATTGAAATGGCCTGTCATAATCAATGGGGGAGGAGTGGATGAATACCTTGGGAGGAAGGGGAATAAACACATTAGGTGTCTCTCCTCCTAATTCCCCTTTTGTGCAGTTGCTGTGAAAAGACCAGGATTGAAGGGCTCCCTCCATCTAGGTAAGTGAGGGAACCAGCCTTGCAGGGCCAGGAATGAACTCGGCGAGCTTGACTTTTGAGCTGTGCGAAATGTCGAGGAGATCTGAGGTGGCCAGGTCCTCAGCCAGGGTGAACTGAGCCCTGCAGAGCTGTGATAACTTCAGCCAACGGAGTAGCCAGTCCCCTGAATGTAGCTCTGCTCTTGGTTTTGTTGTGCTCGGCCTTGGGCAATGTTAACGGAGCTGTAGGCTGCCGTTATCTGTGTATTGGATGTCAGTCTCGCCATTGCCAGCCTTGGTTTTAGCGAGGGAGCCAAAGAGAGAGCCCCACAG